AGAGAAAAACAAAGAAACCATAATTTCTAAAAAATAAGCTTTACCAAAATTAAAGATCTCACACAAAGAGTTTATATAAACTCGCTTTCTTTCAGTTTTGCTTAGATGTAGTTCCAAATATTTCGGATCTGTAGCAGATCTATCATTTTTTTCTCAGATTCAGGTATCTTGCTCTTCAGTAATGGCTCTGATGTCACTATAAAGTTAGATTAACACAATATTAGTGTTATGAAGCAAAATAAACGATCTTACAAAAAGTAAAAATGTGTAGAATTTAAAGATTGAACACGAGAATCCTTTTGACCTAATACTCGGAGAGATGTGACCACATCCAACCCTTATATCCTCCGTTCAGCATCCAATAAATTGGATTATGCTTGGTTGCATTAGATAGCCCAAAATAATAACTAAAGGTTTCAAAGGTTTAACCAATGCATAGAGATAGCACAAAAACACTTATCTCTCAAAAATAATTGCAGATCTATGAAGAATCGCCAAAAATCTTCTCAAATTCCTTTAAAACAATAACTTGAAAGATCCCTTTCATTCTTACAAACATTCACTTAGAATATCACAAATCAGAGGCTAAATAATTCTCAATTCTCAAATCATGAATTTGAGAGGTGAAGAACAAAAAAATAAAAAGTCTAGCAGTCAAGAGATTTTCTCTGTATTCTTTCTCCTCAAAACCAACAACCAGATGAAAATGAATCAACCAAGTGCCAAGTGAAACAGCACCCTAGAGATAAGGTCTAGGAACCATCCAAAAGTAGCAATCAATGGCCAAGATTAAAACCACGTGTCTCAATCCAATGAAAAATGCTATTACTAATAAAGTTTCATTTCACAAATGCGTTTACAACACAAACTTTTGGAAGCACACTTTAATAAGTCCAAGGTTCGAATCCAACAAACAAGTTGGCTTTCATTGAGTTGAAGCTTGACACATTTCTTTATTTTCATCTTCTATGGATGTTTTCTTCTATACAAAGATGGATCATTCAAAACTAGATTTTAGGTTGCTTTCCATGTATGTAGTTTCCATTATCCATTTTCATTTGTTCCACTCATACATGTTTCACAAATATGGCAACCATTTCTCTTCTTTTTTGCAAAATTTTTAGTGTTTGAGCACAAACAATAGTGGTTTCCCATTGTCATTTTCAATTATTCCTGGATTTGTGTTGAATAATTCCCCCTATGTTAATCGGCAATAGCCATTTTTCATGGTGGATTTTTCAACTATGGTTTCTTCAACCTTTCACTAAAAAATTCCTTTTTCAAGAACATTCTCGTATAATCTTGATCAGTGGCAATTTTTCCTTCATTTTTAATGGTTGATCTCTTTGTGTTGGCTAAAGGGACTGCCAGAAACTCTTTTTTTCGATGACTTTTTGTATGTGGTAGAACAAGGTTAATATATCGATCTCCAATAGACGGTGTCAATCTTTTAACCTCAAAAAGTACGCCAACAAAATTTCAGCCCTTTCCTCCTTGTAGACATCACATGTATACTCGAATATACCGTTAGAAGACAAAGATCGTCGATCAAGAAAAAGGTCCGACCACGTTTGCACTTGACAATCAAGTCAACGGTCGAACGAAAAATAGTATGAGTGCAAAAGAATGAGGAAAATTTTAGCTAGGGTTCGGATTTCATATCTTGTTGTGAATAAAACTCATACATAAATGGGTCAAATGGTTATAGATCGTGCCCAAGGCCAATATGAGGTTGAATAATTCAATATAAGTCCAATCCAATTGACTAGTCAATACTACGTCGACATATATGGGACCCCATTCATCTGAGCATGCCACGTAATTTATAGGTGTAATACTATATAGCTACTCCCATTTTATATATCTATCACACTCTAAATATATTCATATTACAATTTTAGAATTTTAAAAAATTATAATATCTATCCATATTGAATTTCAACATTACTCGTATTAAATAAAGTTTCATGATCGAAGTAGCATAAAAGAGATATCCGGGAGCATGAAGACCGACGAACAACAAAATAAATATGTATCATAGATCCGATTATAAATTATGAAATGTGTTTATGGACGTATATGATTCTTTGAATACTCAAGAAACTTAATAAGGATGATGTCTGATTCTTGCTGTCGTGTAAAACAAAAATAAATAAATAAACAAAATGATTTGATAGAATTGAGCATATGGTGACAATTACATGGTACAAGAGGGGTTTTATTTATAGTCATTAAAAGTTTTTGGTTGGATCTTTCTCTTTGCATTCTTGGTTCTTTCTTCATTAACTGTGTTTGGACAAAACCCTCAAGTACATGTGATTGTTGACAAGTAATAATTTTAATAAGTTAAAAGTTTATCGGATCATAAGGAATAATTATAAATATAGTTTACTTATTTCCACTGAATTTGATGATTGTAAGAAAGGAAAAAAAAAAAAGTTGATATTTTTGTTTTAATTCTAACTAAACTATGAAAGTTGTAAGAGATTGGTTTTTAATCAAATATAAGACGAATTTATTGGATTTCAAAATCTGTTAATTAATGTCTAGTTCTAATTCTAGACTTATGTGAGTCAGCATTATTAATGTGCACATGATAATCAATAATCCATTAATATCTAATATTCTCTTCTAAGATATATTAAATCTATGCTTAACACGACTTCATCCTATTCCTAATCTAATCCGAATTCATATGCAAAACACACATTGAATAATGGGATTATCACATACGATTATACACGCCATACACATTATTCTTAATGTCTATTGTACGTGTTAAATACGTAGTGCTTTACTTATTGTGAGTCTCCAAACACTATATATAGTCAACTAATTATCTAAATGATGGCCAAACATTCAAACAACACAAAATTCATGTATATTTAATAAAAAACACAAGAATTAACTAAAAGATAATAAGTCTTGAATTAAAAACTATAAATCAGCGGTTTCAACATTCATCCAATACATAAAAGATTTAGCTTAACATTATCATATGAAAATTACATAAAAGAAAGAGAAACAAAATCACCCCAGACAAAGAAACTTGAAAACAATGTGAAAACTTCAATTCCTCGCTCGAAACTCAACCCCAAAAGATATAAGTTCACCCCTTAAATAAAAAATCTCTATTTCTTTCTCTTCTATTATGAAAACTAGGTTTTTATCCTTACGGACATGCCTCCCAACATACAGAATGCAAAAGATTGCATTTGATATGTTACCAAAAGAAAATAAGGAAAACAATATTTTTTTTCCTTTTTACCTTGGGACGCTCGCTTTCTTTGCAGGCCTAGGAACTCCTAGGCTTGTCTCGAGTAGTCTTCAATATTTTTATCATAACAATCTATTTCGATATTTGATTGAAGTGATTCAAAGTGCTTTGAAAAAATAACTCAAAGGGTTAGAATTCATTTGGAGATAATATTTTCCAATTTGAATGTTTGCTCTATCAAAAATGGGTCTCTTTATGAGGCTAAAAATTCGGAACATAACTCTATTTGTTGGAAATTGATGTATAATAATACTTTCACTACATTTCATCCCTTTTACTTCTTTTCTCATCCAACTAACTCCTAGCACATCTTGAATCTTAGTCTTTAGGTCCAACAGAACTTTGAGTATTGAAACTTTAGTCCCCTAACTTTGAATAAGAACATTTAGCCTATTTTCACCATTTTTCTCCAATTTATAATTAATTTTAACCACATATTTCATAGGATCCACAACTTTTTAACCACATATTTAGTAAACTTCAACCAAAATTTAATAAAAGTCTAATTTTGATTCCTACCAAATATTATATAGAGAATTAAAGGGCACGAGGAAGGTAAAATTTTGACTAGTCAAACACCTCTTCTAAAATGTTCCAAGACTTCTTTATTATTATTTTTTAAATATTCATCATTCACAAAAGTATAATCAATTATTGTTTAAAATTTCGATGAATAAACACTAGTGCACTGATTTGACCAGTGACCTAGTGACTCAATGACTTAGCCAAATCAATATTCGAGTTGAGTTTGATAACTATGGATTTTTTACTTTCTTCGCCTTTTCACTTTTACTTGTGTTATTACTATTTATATTTTGACTAGTAAAATTATTAATAAAATTAACAAAAACGTAAATTTACTAATTGCACTTAATTTGGTATGGTTGAACTTGTAAATTTTTAAGTTCTATATAAACTATATTCTTATCATTTTTCCCCGAATATATGTCTGGGCGAGATTTATAAAACCATTGTAATATATTAGAAACCTAAGATTTGGCTTAATTAATGAAAGTTTAGGGTTGTTTTCTTTATTAATTTCATGACTTCATTTTTCGTATGTCCTAGATGATAGATCACTTTTCTTATTAACAGTATAGCTGATTTCTTAATTTTTTTTTAATATGCCCCTAATTAATATATCTTATTATAAACAGATATGAATATTACGAAAAATATATAAGTAAAATTTATTGTTTCAACTATACTAATTGCATTTTCTTATAATATCTCCAAGAGAATCTCTATTTTTAAAAAAACATATTATATCATTTAAAGAACATCTATAAATTTAGAGAGCTAAAATTTTGAACTACTCCAACAAACTCTTTATAGTTAACACTTAATTTTACTACTCCCTAAAAAATATTTATTATTTTTCTCTATCTTTTATTTTAACTAACTTTTCTTTAAATTATTTTATTATTTTCCTACAATAAAAATTGAAATGCTCTGAATTTATTTAATTATGGATAGTGAGTTTGGCTCTCAATTTGAAGAGCTAAATCAACTCTTTGAATTAAAATTTTAATTAAAAGAATCTTTAAAATATAGAGAATATCTTAGAAATGCTCTTAGTTAGTATGGAAATGGAAACAAATTATGTACAAGTAACATATTCCATTTATATAAGACATTAGTTGATATGTTAATTAAGCTTCTTTGTCGTAGTGTGACCAGTCACTTTCGTGGTGGACCACTCTCTCGTGAGCGAGTGCTTTGAGAATTCAACAACACATGGAATAAATTATCACGAGCAATAATATATTTTCGTTACACGAAATAGAGCGAAACTTTTTATTTTTCCTAAGGGTAACACACAGAGGCTACGGGAGAAAAACATCGATAATCAAACCACAAATCCACCATTAGCACGAATGAGTTGACCATTGACCCACTCTCCGGCATCAGTGACCAAAAATCCAACAAGTTGAGCTATATCTTTCGGCTCACCTAATCGACCAAGAGGACAAGAATCCACAAGTCTCTTAACAGTTTCTTCAGTTTTACCGGCGAAGAAAAGCTCGGTTGCCACCGGCCCAGGTGCAACACAATTTGCAGTTATACCACTACCTTTCAACTCCTTGGCCATAATCTTTGTCATAGTCTCTACGGCAGCCTTAGAAGCCGCATAAGCTGAGTAACCAGGAAGTGATGCTCCGACTACTGATGTCGAGATCGTAATTATTCTTCCACCGCCTTTACGCGTCAATCGGTTTGCTGCCTCTCGACAACACAGAAAAGCTCCCCTTGTATTCACATTAATCACAGAGTCGAAGTCCTCAATCGTTGTATTGGCTAGTGTTGGGTACTTTGGATCCGACACCCCTGCACAGTTCACAAGGATATGGGCCTCACATCCAAATTCCTTTTCAGCTTGATCAAACAGTGCCTCAACATCTTCCGATTTTGATACGTCGGCTTTAACTGCAACTGTTACCGGAGAAGAACTGGCCTTGGAATTGAGCTCAGACGCTAATGTATCAGCTAGATTTGAGTTGGAAGCATAATTGATGACGAGCTTGGCACCCAGGGAGTGGAGGTGAACTGCGATTGCACGACCAATTCCACGCGAAGCTCCCGTTACTATTGCTACCCTGCCATCAAGCGGTAAAGAAGAAGCTGAAGCCATGATAGATCTAGTATTCTCAATTTGTTGGATGAGTAATTAGTTTATAGTGCCATAGATCTGTTTGGATTATCAAAATTTTATAATAATGTTCAACCAATGCAGAGGTCAGCTCATACGCTTGTGTGAGATAAAAAGATCTTATCCGTGTTTGACTTGGGATTCATGAGCCACATTAGGAATTAAAATATCCATACATGTATGGGTAGATGAATAATGTTATGTAACTCTCGCACTAGGTGATGGGTTGAATGAAATGTAAAATTCACATTAACGTTACCTATATTAGTGTTGTAACTGAGATAAACTTTACACTAAATGCTTCCACGGCACGTTAAGCCCCTGTTACCCTAATCTTTTGATCTTATTTTTCCTCAAACTCATTTTTAAATACATATTTTAATGTACCCACGACTTTTATCAACCAAATATTTCATCTACTTTTATTAAAATATACTAAAATTCTGATTTTCAACCAAACTAAACAGAGGCTCAATTTTCAACAAGTTTATTCCACTTTTTGAGAATAGTACTTTAATTAAAAATCTATTTTGGAAATTCTTTTAGAAATAAAAAATAAAGATCCAGAGCTACTAAAATTCATTTTTATTTTTATTTTTTCATGTGACTCTCAAAAGAGAACTTCAGAAGTCCACTAGAGAGTGCTACCAGACACTACAAATCTCAACGAGAGCACCGGAGAAAAGATGCACAAGAGAATCCTACAGAAGGAATGGAAGACAACTTCCAACAGACACATGCAGGAATATGAGTTGTGGACTAGACGATTCATTCATATACTTCCTGATACGATATCAAGCAAAACACCCAATTTTTGAAAGAAAAGCCTTCAGTATCCTGGCTAATTCAATTTCAGCATGACTTTCTTGGACATTGCCTGGATGAAAATAGCATATGAACTTAGATATACTTCCTTTCTTGCAAGACACGTTCTAATTTTGTTTTATGTCCATGGGAGGTAGGCTTGATCCCCTACCCTAAGACTGTGCATTCAATTTGAAGCTACTGTTAGCCTGTTCAATGTGAATAAGTAATGACAGATACGTTGAACCCTAACTATCAACACTACAAAAAGGCAGCAATCTAGAGCATTTGTTCAACTTCGCTTTCAATCATGTAGGACATTCACAGTAGACTCAATTGTCGAGCACAAATTAATCAACTGGAGATGCGAACCGGAGTATCAATTGCCAAAAAATCATCCAAACAAACTCTTGGAGAATCCCCCCGGGGTATTACTTCAGATACGAAGATGATTCAAAAATGAGACAACTGACATGCAAAGATCTTTGAATAATGCTACCTAAATTCAGAAAAGTACCCAAATAACAGTAGCAGATGGACAAGCAACTATCATCCATTCAATGTCGGATTGACAACCAACTAAATACACCCCCTCAAATGCTATGACACGCATGCAACCTTCTTAGCTTACAGTTAACTTCCATTGGTCAAATATATTTTCCAGCTTATGATGTCAAAGCAATTTTTCTTTTGCTTCAACAGCTAGCCAGAATGCAATTAAAAAACAGCTTCCTGCACAGAGAAATAGCACAGCTTAAGCAATATATTTTCATGTCAACATTACACACTTGTAAGCACCCCGGCAATGCCCTCCCACCCAAACTAATAAAGGAGTTCCAAATGCTTTTCAAAATTCACGAAAAAGACCATACAAAGAATAGAGAAATGCAAATGACCTGTAAATCTACAAGCCGAACATAGTGATGCAGAAGGTCGAACCCATTCCAAAGAAACCAAACCAAAGGTTTATATCCAGTAGGATTGAAATAGACCGAACAATCTAAGAAATGAGAGAGAACTTAAAAAACCAAACAAACATTCAAATAGACTGTAGGAAAAGAAGTTCACAAATATTGAATCTTCTTTTCTGTTCTCAACTGAGTTAACAAACGGGATCCCAACAATTTAAAATTGCACCTGTTCAAAGGTTAGGTTTCAATTAGAATCACACTACTCACTCAAACATCAGATTACAAAGGCATGAGCATGTGAAATCAAAAGAAACCAAATCCAATTAAATGAAATTAAATTACAAACAAAAAGACGATAAAGAATGAAGAAAAATACATTACTATATTTTCATTGTGGGAGAGAATTGGGGATGCACCTAAAAACTTTGAAATACTTCAGGCAAAATGCACTTGAAGACATCCAAAGTGCTTAAAAGGGTTGTACCTCAACATTCAAGATTTGAAGCCCTAGAGAGTAGGAAGAGAAATCCCATCGCAATTGTGATCTCTTCTTTGGTCGAATTTTTTCGTGTTCCAACTCAGCTCTAATTTATTCACTAAATTGAAACACTCAACTTCTATGTCCGTGGTCTAATGTCAGCCAAAAAGGAAATTGTAAAGTTCATTTCTTTCATCGAGAGGGGACTGAAACAAATTTTATATAACTTGCAAGTTGCAACCAAATAGATGCATTTATAACATAACACAAAATTCTAACCATCTTGAATTTCAACCACAGCAAAGATCTTCAAAATAAAGTTAAAGCTCAATTCAAACAAGGTACTCACAATTTTTCCCATATAATCTAGCATGTTCTGCCACATGAAAACATCAAGAAATCACATTCTTATAACCCGATAGAAGACAACAAGTTCACTAAGAATTATGATCAATTTGAAGCATCATTTACATTTATTACAATTCAAAGGTAGTTTTTACACAGATGACAACTCAACTAACAAGTTACTAAAGATGAAGTATGGTCTGATTCAACTATTCGAACGTGATCCTCAAAAGCAAATTAAAAATGGTGTACCTGGAAATCAATCAGATCTCTACTTGGGTCAGCCTCAATCTTCTCCACTCTCGTTGCGTAATAGGTATTTTGGGTTTGATCTCCCAAAAGATCAAACGAAAAAGGGGAAAAATCCCATATTCAACACTACATCTGCAGAAATCAAAAAACATATACACAATGGGAAGAAATTCAATAAAGAATACACAAGAAAAATATCAAAGGAACTGTTGGATTTTATGCGCAATATTAAAGAGATGAAAAACGAAAATCAACACAAGAATTTTACGTGGTTCGGTGGTTTGCCTACGTCCACGAGAGCGAAGCAAAGACTTCTTTTTTCAGTTGTTAAAACTAGGGTTACAATATATTATTTATACTAACCCTAGCCTGGCCCATATAAGACTTTAAGGTCCATACAGAAAATACCCCTATACAGTACCGCGGGGGCACCAACCCATTCAGCGTCCCTAACAACCAAACAGTGAATTAAAATTGCACAAGACCAATACCGTCACTCCACTCTGCGCCGGCATCAATCCCATTTGATCCAGAACCTGTGTTCCACTCTACATGAGCCACATACACAACAAGAACAAACTTTAGGTATTTTGCATTCGATTTCTAAAAAGATCAAAAATAAATAAAATAAAATAGAAAACCAAATTGAGCTATATATAATTAAAGAAACCGTAGGAAATTTAAAGAAGAGGAAGAAATTGAAGTAGTGAAAATTACACTCACAGGTATATGTCTCAGTTACCTTAGATTGTTTAGGATTTCAATCAACAATCGAAAGAGAAAAACGGCAATTAGGGTTAAGAGAAAGAGGAAATGAGTACCCAAAACTCAAAGGCTACATTTTTTTTGAAGGACAAACCAGTTAATGAACACTAGATAGCCCGATAGGTGTGAAAAGGAGGATGCACAAATGAATAGCAAATCTGATAGGACCCTGCGATTGCTGAGATTTCCTAGGAATGAATACTGATGCTATTGCTTGACTGACTACACTACAAAGCTGTTAACCAATCTGTATTAACATAGATTACTTCAACTGGAGATAACTAGAAGATAACAGAGATTATATGTAATGGAATTTAAATTGTTTATTGAATGGAAAAAGAAAGACACTAGAATTGAGGAAATGACACTGAATGAAATACAAGATACTCCCAAGCTCTTCGAGAGGCCTGGCTCTCCTCACAACTCACTAACTTTTCTGGATGCCCTCTAATCCTCCTCTCCATCACATTTATAAGCAATCCCTTAACCGTAACTACTTGATTTATTACACTTTTGACCCTCTAACAAACTATTGAACCTTCTAGAATAAGGAATGATGTGGCTGCAACTATGTTTATATATGTGGACCAGATTGGGTCTATCAAAATCCCTTATCCTCTCTTTATACACACACACACACAAAATAGTCGACTCGTATGCCTGTGCATGTGGTATTTTTAAGGTAATGTTAGTGTATCAAATATTTATGGAAAGCTAAATTATTGTGAAAGTTTCGTAAGTTTTTATCTAACATAATAATTAGTAAAATTTCATAATGATATATTCCAATAAGATCCAAATGAAAATTTTTTGGTAGCCAATTTTTTTTTTTTCCAGGGAAGAAATTAATGGGGACAATATTATTCGTTCTAAGCTTGCAAACATTTGACAATTCATATTTGTGATCTGTACCAAAATATTTATAGTACCCACTGAACAAGGAAGAAAATTTATTGGAAAATAAAGGAGTGAAAATATTATCTGATAGATCACAATGCCAAGGAAATGCAAATGTAGGTTTGACTTGTGTGCAGCGAGAATACTTCAAGATTTGAGCTTCAGTTGGTCCCTACGGAAATGGTAAAGAGTTTCTATTATCTTCATAAAAATTAGTGATATATTAAGTGATTAATTAGTTGATGAGAAGAATGAATAAAAAGTATAGAGAGGAAAAAAAAAACTTACAGGAATATTCATTTCTATATTAATCGTTACAAGCATATAGAGAAGTAAAAGAGGTTAAAAACATAGTTATTCTTCCAACTTATCACACTAATTATTTTGTGTCACCAAAAGTAACTGACTAAGGCATTACTGGTTTTATAACTGAAATATTATTTCAAGAAACAAAATGTACTACGTGTGAGTGGTTAAAGAATCCGTACCTTCAGCCTGCAATGATCACGAACAATTTTGATCTTGAGCATGTGTTCCTTGTCATAAAGCAGTTCCTATATCTCAGTGTTGATCATGGTAGAAAGTCCCAACTTACGTTCACAAAAGCATATGAAATTAACAAGAAGCACAGATGATAATATTTAATAAAAACAACCTTGCTAGTTTATAATTAAGCGACAACACGTATCTGTTATGAAGGTCTCAGGAAAGATAAAGTAAGCGAAACTTTTGAAAGGATACGATGCCATAATTTACTTGAAGGGTTCAGAAATTCAACCTAATTGACCCTAGTTATTCTGTTTTTTATCGTAGTTAACTTGTTTTGGAGTTCGTTCATCCGTTTTGTCATAGTTTCTTGTTTCTATATCGTCTTCCAATTTGTTATTTATGTTTTAAAATATATCAAATACATTCCCATATAATTTTTCTCCTGTAGAAAATCAAGTAGATTCTAACAGAATTAATACAAAACAAAATCTAGAAGAATTGCACTTATGTTTAATTCTTAACTCGAAAAGTTCATTATGAAAAATTACTTATTTATGATTAGATTCACTGTTTTTATTTACAAGTAAATTTACTTTTCATCTATTATATATATGTTTGGACAAGTTATTTTATCTTTTACTCTGAAGTAAAAAATGTTAATTTTTTAAATTTATTTTGACGTTGATATATTTATTTTAAATCCCACTAATTCAATTCAATAATTTTTTAATTATAAGAGAAATTTACTCTAAAGTTATAAGTAAAATTTATATTCTTTTTTTGGGCTTCTAATAAAGCCATATTCAACCTTGATACATTGGGTGAGGAATCATACAAGGGAAATACATTCATGACGCAGGTTGTAAAAGAAAAACTAACTTTTGGGAATTCTGACGCAGCGATATCTCTATTTGAAACTAAATATTGAAACCCAAAGGGTAAAAAAAAGAGTACAGAAATACACTAAACCTCAACATAGTACACAGTACCCAAAAAAAGCACAGATTTGTAGAGATTTCTCACCGTTTGATTGATGAAGAAGGTACAGTTGGTAGCACGGAACCTGAAATTGAAGTAAACACACAAGATGAACCCACACAATAATAAACAAGTAAGCCTAATTATTTTCAATATATTTCTAATCATATATTTGCAGTTGATATTCTAAAATCTCCATTCCATATACAATTAAACCCCTAAAAAACTATTAGTCTTCTACAATTTTCAACGCTTTATGTGAAAAGGACAAACAAAAAAAAATGTCAAAAAAACCGAAGACCTCAGAGAATAACAATAAATCCAGAGGCACAAATAAATCTATATGGATTTCTTACCTTTTTGACAAAGAATGTACAGTTGACAGCACAACTATTGAAATTTGGAAAATTTACAAGAAACGGTTTCTGTACAACATAAGATAAAAAGCAAATAGTCACATGACTACAATAAAACCTGATGGAACAAGTATAAATCTATAGCAATCTTTCACATTTTCCCTATAATTAAAAGCATGTTTAATAGGTGGATAGACAGCTGAACTTTATGAAGAAGGCGAACGAAGTTAAAATCTGTCAAATGTACTGTCTAGTATTCTAGATTAAGCAAGCACCATGTATTTAACAGAGTACTCATGCAAGCATTTCAATATATTACAGCATCGTACCTTTCGCCTATGACATAATACATGTATTACAGCATTTTGAATGGATATTTGACAGGAGTATTGCAGATAAAGGTCGGGTAATTGACCAAAAATGTGCCTATTGTTTGAAGATGAGATGATTTAGAAGGGTAAAAATGTGTTTCTACTTAACCCTTATCATTTAATTTAAATAAAATCAATATAACATATGAAAAAAATAAAAATAATTCCAAAAACCATTTTTTTTATCCAAGGCCCAATACACAACGTACCCACTGTCCAAAACCCGCCTACTCCCCCATCCTCATCCCCATCCCCATCCCCATCCCCATCCCCACCTGCCACCACAACCACAACAACAAATCCACCAGTCTGTTGCCCAGACTCCAGTGAATACACCCAAATCATAGCATGTACAGGGAATACTCCTCTTTTCCTTCTCTCTTTCCAAATACGATTTTTCAAGGCACTTTTTGACAGCAAGTTTGCAAGAAAATGTTGAACACAATCAGTGAAAAAAATTTTGTAGCAATTTGTGAAGTGGACAATGAAGATGCACTGAAACAACCGTGCCAGATAATAAATATTAACAGGTAAGTTTTCCATTGGTTAGAAGGTTACAATTACCAATTATGCATAATCATAACCCATGGGTCTGTGTATTACTGTTTTTCCAACCACCACCACAGACTCAATTTCGCTTCCACGTCACCAAATACTCTACATTCGGTATCCTTTCAGTCTCTTCCCCAAAATCTTCTCCACCTCTGTGTACTAAAAATGGCATCCTCTAACGCCTTTATCACAGTCTCCAATCACAAAGACGTAATCAGTGCAAGTATCATGATCAATGAAAAAAAAACATGTTTTCACGTAAGAACCATGAGCTATCGATGCAAGCAAAAAGGATTATACCTGACTCGAGATTTGGCATATGTAATTTGTGGGAAATCATAAAAATCAATGTTAACAATCTCATTTAAAGGTAAAGCTGATAAAAAGATAGTTCCCTTATTTATATAAATCTTTACTTTAACACACCCTCTTATATATAGGCTACATTTATTTACTAATCAAAGATCTAGAGCACATAAAATTTTCAAAAATAGGTTTTCTGAGACAAGAAGAACTGAACCAATCCTTTTGCCGTGTTTCAATACCATGTTAACTATTTCATCAAAATGATTAAGCTGTCTAACAAGGGGACACGTGTGTTCATCACATAATTAATCAAATAAATACTGTATAGAGACTTCGTAGTAAGAAAAATTAGACAATATGTGCTTGCTTCATCAGCACGGAACTATTTCAAATGGTACCTTATTCTCAGTTTCCATTTGATTACTCTTGTTTTTTCTCGACATCAATAATACATCATTAAGGCAATTAGTCTCAATGCAAACAATAACAGTAAGTAAAAAGCCCGATCTTCCGATTGCTATGCATAAACCTAATTACAGATCACACAAAATGCTACTTCCACAAATGTGCTTACCTTATTTTCCTCCTAATAAATATTGACAAATCTTCGACATCAGTAGCATATATATGTTGAAACGAAGCTTCCTAAGTGTACTTCCAATTTAGATGTGTTTGATTTTCCAGTGGGAATGAGTAAAAAAAAGCTACAAAAAATTCTCTCTTAAAGCAAGTTATTGCTATTATCTAAACACATCGCAGCTTACACGTGAGACTACCCTAACAACCAAGATGTAATTAACATGAGTATCATGCTAAATGATAAAGAAAAGCACGTTTTCCATCCAAATCACATAAGAAGCAAGAGCTATCATCAGCAGTGAACATAAATTATTGTTATTATTCAAAAAAAAAAATTATACCTAATTCAGGATATGGCGTTTCTAATCTGTGGAAAATCATAAAAATCATTAGAAAGACTTCAAACTCTAAACACAAACATTATAAAATAAAAAATAAAAAATAAGAAAAATCTAAACATTATCCAGACAGAGATGCACTAAAACATAAGAAAATCACACCAAACGTGAAAAAAATGCGCAGATCTGTTGAAACTTGAAACTTCGAACAAAAACATAGAAAATAAAGATGGTTGATTCAACAGTACGGCTGCAGGAATAGGAAGGAAAATCAGGAGACGAAGAAATTGAACACACAAAGATCATAATTACAAGTACATGTCTGAGATACATGCAAATTCTTTAGGTTTCTTTTGTACGATCGCGAGAGGAAGAATGAAATTAGGGTTAAAGCAAAGACAAATGGGCCCCAAGACTCATCCTCTGATTTGTTTGTCATTTTTTCCCACATATTGTTGTTGAACCGAAACCAAAACAAGCACACTAAGAATCAAATAGGTGTGAAATGGAGTAACCCATAAATGAACAGTGAGAAATATGACAGTTTTTAGTAAACATAACTAATTCTAAGTTCATACGCTCGTATGAAGACGTCTAAAGCTTTCATAAATCCTAAGATCATAATAAATATCAGACATGCAATATATGTGCAACTGGCATAAAAGAGTTGGACTGAAGGAAATAAAAAAGAAACCTTTGAAGGTTACAGAACCATGCCACAGTTTCAAACTATAGGACTATCTTATGTTGTGGATTTACGAAATGAAGTACTGGCTTCAACTAAGCTCCTGCAAAAATATGAAGGCATAATAAATTATCCACAAGATAGACGTTGAAGTAAAGAGCTTCTATAAATGTATCTGCATAATAAAAGAATTAAAACAAAACAGAAATAACAAAAAGAAAGTAGAATAACTTAATAAATTATGCACAAGAATTGACTCGGGGCTCGATGTCTCTTACTGAATACAAGCGAAAGTTTGAAGAATTATCCCATTACGCCCCTAGTTTTGTTTTGTCGACACGTAGGAGAAAAAGGCGAGCATTTTGAACAGAGTTTAAGAGATGATCTAAGACAAGCAGTGATAGTACTTGAACTAAGAACCTACCATGAAGTGTTAACAAAGGCACAGCTGGCAGATCTCAGGAGTTGCTCCAGCGGGGAGAACAAGCAATTGTATGGGCATACAGAAAAGCGCAAGTGGGAAGATAACACAAGTAAAGGACAACAAAACTAGGGTAAGAAAGGCAAAGGAGGCCCGATTCAAAGTGACAATAAGAGCTACCCACTTTGCAATAAATGCAAGAAACACTATTGGACAGAGGTTTCATCCGGCCCAATGTATCTCCATCGGGAGCATCGGTGCTATTTGTTAAAAAGAAGGATGGATCGATGAGGATATGCATCGATTACAGAGAATTGAATAGAATCACTATCAAGAATAAGTATCCTCTTCCCAGGATTGAGGATTTGTTTGATCAGCTCAGAGGTGCAGTGGCACTTTCCAAAATCGATTTAAGGTCTGTTTATCGTTAATTGAGAATCAAAGTTAGTGATATCTCTAAGACCGCATTTAGAACTCGGTACGGACACTACAAGTTCTTAGTTATGCCATTTGGACTAACTAATGCTCCTAGAATCTTTATGGATTTGATGAACCGCGTTTTCCACAAGTATCTGGATCAGTTTGTTATCGTGTTTATCAATGATATCCTGATCTACTCAAGAAGTAATGAGGAACATGAGGAGCATTTAAGGATTGTATTGGAGGTTTTGAAGAAGGAGAAGCTCTATGCCAAGTTCAAAAAGTACGAGTTTTGGCTAGAGCGGGTAGCATTCCTTGGACACATCTTCACAGCTCGAGGGATAGAGGTGGACCCTTGTAAAGTGGAGGCAGTGTTGAATTGGTCAAGGCCAACTAGTGTAGGAGAAATTCGCAGTTTCTTGGGCTTAGCAGGATACTATCGGAGGTTTATTGAAGGATTCTCCAAAATATCAAGACCGTTGACACAATTAACACGCAAAGGTGTGATGTTGACTGGACAGAGAAGTGTGAACAGAGCTTTAAGGAATCAAAACAAAAGCTAGTAAACGCCCCAGTGTTAACCATACCCAACAAGTCAGATGGTTTTGTGATCTATTGTGATACTTCGAAACAAAGTTTGGGATGTGTCTTAATGCAGCACGGCAAAGTGGTTGTCTATGCATCGAGACAATTAAAACTACATGAACAAAACTAACCCACGCACGACCTAGACTTGCCGCGGTGATCCATGCATTAAAAATTTGGAGGCATTATCTTTACGGAGGTAAATGTAACATATATACGGACCACAAATGCCTCAAGTACATCTTCACCCAGAAGGAGTTAAATATGAGGCAGAGAAGGTGGCTTGAGTTAGTTAAGGATTACGATTATGAAATTCATTATCACCCAGGCAAGGCGAATGTGGTAGCTGATGCCTAAAAAACGGCAAGCAATTAGCGATGTTGTCTACACAAGAACCACTATGAAGAGAATTTTAAAGATTGAATCTCGAGGTTGTCACCACTCAACCAGGTGTAGTCGCTCGAGTAGTAGCTCTCTCTATCTGACCCACACCCTATGACAGAATTAAAGGACATCAAAAAGGTGATCAATCCTTTGAGTACATCAAGTCTGAGATTAACTCAGAAAAGTGGGAGGATTTCACCATAGCTGAAGATGAAGCATTATATTATCAAGGGCGGATGTGTGTACCAAATTTCGAGGAATTGAAAACAGAGATTTTAGAGGAGGCTCACTCCTCTCCTTATTCTGTGCACCCGGGAAGCACAAAGATGTACAAGAATTTGAAAGCAATATTTTGGTGGGAAGGCATGAAGAGGGATAGCTGAGTATGTCCGAAAATGTTTGGTGTGTTAGCAAGTGAAGGCCGAACACCAGCGACCATCAGGGTTACTTGAACCATTAGAGGTCCCAATGTGGAAGTGGGAGCATGTAACTATGGACTTCGTGATTGGCTTTCCAAGGTCAGCAAGAGGTCACGATGCTATTTGGGTCATAGTAGATCGACTAACCAAATTAGCTCATTTCTTGCCAGTACTGATAACGTTTATTGTGGACTAGTTCGCGCAGTTATATGTGAATAAGATAGTAAGGTTACATGGTGTGCGTGTTTCTATTGTACCGGATAGAGATCCAAGGTTCACATCGAACTTTTGGAAAAGTCGACACCGAGCTATGAGAACTAAAGTTCAATATGGCATTCCATCCTCACGGATGGACAGTCTAAGCAGATAATTCAAACATTGAAGAACATGCTTTGAACATGTATCCTCGAGTGTGGGGGACAATGGGAGAAGCATTTACCTTTAATTGAATTATCATACAACAATAGTTATCACACTTCAATTGACATGGCAGCATACGAGACATTGTATGGGAAAAAGTGTTGATCACCAATTGACATGGCACCATACGAGACATTGTATGGGAAAAAGTGTTGATCACCAGTTCATTGGGATGAAGTCGGTAAGTGAAAGATTTTGGGGCCAGAGATTATTGAACAGACAGTGCTTGCAATTGAAAAGATTCGCGCCAGCATGTAAAGTGCTCAGGATAGAAGTTATGTAGATAGAAAGAGAATGGGTCTGAAATTTTCAGTTGGTGATAAGGTATTCCTCAAAGTGGCACCGATGGAAGGAGTGCTACATTTTGGCAAGAAGGGTAAGTTGCGACCAAGGTTTATTGGCCCGTTTGAGATCTTGCAACTTATTAGGAATGTCGCATATCAGTTAGCGTTATCTCCCGAACTTTCAGCTATACATGACATCTTCCATGTTTCAATGCTTAGAAAGTACGTCCCCGATCTAAGTCATGTGGTCAACCATCAGTCTATTATATACAGTTAGGTTTAAGCTATGAAGAAGTACCAATAAGAATTGTTAATCAAAAATTTCAAGTCCTCTGGAACAAAGTAATCCCACTAATAAAAGTACAATGGCGAAATCACTCGGCTGAAGAGGCCACGTGGGAGCGAGAGGTCGAGATGCAGGCAAAGTACCCACAACTCTTCGATGAATTTAAACGTAAATTTCGAGGATGAAATTTATTTTTAGGAGGGTAGATTATAATACCCGCACCCAAATTTTCGGGTCTAACTATCAAAAATGAAAATTTAAGGGCTCATTTGAGGGTTAATCAACCTTCTAGGACTTTGTAGGAAACTTAACATAAATCATAATTCCCACATGTTTTTTATTGAATTTTTTGTCAAACACTTACATAGAAAATTCTTGATTTATGCTTGATTGACCAAACATAAGGTAATGTGTAATGTGATTGCATGAATGTACGAATGAGAGAGAGATTCTTGCTCATTTCACAAATTTTAAGGAACAATTTCCACCATCAAGAATTTTTTCTTAATGATGCATGCCTAATCTTGTCCTATTTAAACCTCTCATTCACATTCACTTCACATGCTATCACTCATTATTATATTTTTTTAGTCCAAATAATACACACACGTGGAAATTGTAGAGGGATCAAGTCTCTATTACTCTTCCTTTCAAGTTTCACTGTAAGTACGTTGTCTATATTAAATTGTTATTATGACATGAATTTCAAGAAAATTATTATCGGTCCCATATGGTATGAATTTCAAATTTAATTGTTATGTTGAAATTATTTTCTTTCTTTCATTTTTTTCAGCTACATGATAAAACCAAAATTTATTTACTTATTGAAGAAAATCAAAATTATTTCATGTTCTAATTTTAGTTCTTATGAAAGAATTAAGTTTTATTTAGTGACACTTGAATAGTCAATGATTCGGGCCGTCACAGTAACATTTGGGCAGGTAACGTTTTAATATCTAACTTACATGCCTATGTATTAATCGATTCTATACCACTCACTCCTTTATATCCTTTAAAATTCCCAAAAAGACTAGATGTGAATATTATACGTGCATGACTCACTCCTTTATATCTGTTACAGAATAATAGGCTAACATTACGAGCTAATTAGTCTCTAATTAGAGACTAATTAATTAGGCCTAATTACAGTAGCCTAATTAGTCTCTAATTAGCCTAATTTCAGTAGCTAAATTAACGTAATTAACTAGAGAAATTAGCATACCTTAGAGAGATTGTACATGTATATATATATAGCGTGATTTCCAATGAATAAGAATATAGAAAAATTCCCAGTTCTCTATTCGATTACATGGTATCAGAGCGATGAACCATCTTACCCGTGGTTCGGTTCTTTGAATTAGGCGACATCTTTGCGAGTCGACCTTATTGTGGTCAGCCCTTTGCCTTCGGATTTCTGGCGGCATCATCTGTGATTACGGCATCTGGGTTTCACTCCTAGTTGCCGGCAGTTTGGTCTCTGTATGGTCTAAAACAGAGTCCCCGTGCCTGGTTTGGCAAGTTCGGTGAAGTAGTTCTGGAGTTTGGGTTGAAGAAGAGCAAATGTGATCATTCAGTCTTCTACAGACAGTCAGCAGCTCGATTGGATTGCTGGGCAAATCGATTGGGTTGCCGACAGTTTCTGAATCCCTCGGTCTCCATTTGGGTTGGAGTCTGCGTTCCAGGTTCACCGTGCGATTCCGCCTCTAGTTCGCGTCTTTGTGACGCTGTTTTGTGGACGGAAAATTCTGGTCGGCCGTCTTTGAATTACGGGATTTTCTTTGGCTAATTTCTGGTGAGTTGGCTACTTATATTCTATTGGGCTCTACACACGTGATCTATTTAATTGGGCCATATTGGATATATTTATTTTAACTTTAGGCTGTT